CCTCTCTGCAGGCCTCCCATGAGCCTCTCTGCAGGCCTCCCATGAGCATCCCTGCAGGCCTGCTCTCCTTCTGTCTCTCTATCTAAAGTTACTGGCTCCACATGGGCTCTGTCTCGGGTTTGTCAGGCTCTCCTGCTGTCTTCAGTGTGCCTGTGCAGTCTTCAAGGTCTAGCTTGTTTGTTTTTACACGGGCTTTAAAAGACTAATGTCTATGTGTCTCAAGGGTGTTTCTGCAAGGCTAAGTGTGAATGTGGCAGATTTCATGACAGTCAAAACCTCAGCACTCACGTAAGCAAGTGTCTCTCTGCAGTGGGCAGCGAGCGAGGCTCCATTGCACTTACATCCATGCTGTGGGCCTGGGGCCTTCTGCTGCTTCTGGACCAGAAGAGGATAGGGGTCTGCTTGACCCAAGCTCCACTGACCACCTGGCTTTGTCCCCAACCCCAGGTACTGCAGGGTGCTCAGCTCATAGCCGTGGCCTCTTCAGACCCTGCTGCAACAGGAGTGGACGGGTCGCCTCTCCAGGGCAGTGACATTCAGGTTCAGTATGTCCAGCTGGCGCCGGTGAGCGACCACACAGCTGCAGCTCAGGTGAGTCTGCTCCCTCTCAGTCTCACCAGCCTCCCTAGCAGATACTGAACTTGGGGCTATGTCTGACATTCCTGTAGAACTAGGAACCCTTGTTGAGAGGCATACAGGTCTGGCTCAGGCATAGGGCTTCTGTTTATAACTCCTGAAATCAGAATCTGTGGGCTCCTCTGACATCAGCCCTGCAAGGGCAGGTGACCGTGTTAGGAGCAGAAGGCTCGACAGTTGGAGTCTGTGCCATGTGTCAAGTCTCCTCCCTCCCTCTGCACACCTAGCTGGCACTGGCAGCTTTCCTGGCGCTCCTTTCTCTGTGCATTCTAAGCCTGGTATAGTAACCTGCAGGTTCTCACAGAGGTTTCTGCTCTCCTGAGTTCAAGAACCAAGCTTTGACCATAGGCTGGGTAAGATTTTGCTTCTCCCAAGAGCTCTTGAGGCCTGTCTGCCTCAGGCATTGGAAGGGCTTGTGGAGCTGCTAGGCCAGGCATCTGAGGAGAAGGCACTGGGATTCCTTCCCTGAAGGCCTCTGAATGACCTCTTCCACATTCTCAGAGAAGGAACTTGGGCCTAGGTGAAGACTTCCCATCTGCAGGCCTCAGCCACAACCCCCATCAAGCCTCAGAATGCTTCTTCCTTCAGCGTGTCACACAACTGCCCTGCTTCCCACAGCTTCCCACTTGATCTCACTGTTGCAAACTTTTGATAAAGCCGCGGGGTCTTGTTCTGCTGGCTAAGTGCAGACAGAGCTTCCTAGAAAGTGCCTGCAGTCCACATCCTTCACCTGAGCTGTTCTCCTCTTCCTCCTCTTCTTCTTCCTTATCCTCCTCCTCCTCTTCTTCCTCCTCTTCTTCGCCCTCTTGCTCCTCCTCTTCCCCATCCTCTTTCGCTACCTTATTTATTTATTTAGTAAGAAGTGAACTGAACATGGCCTCAGCCGTGCCATCCCCAGCGGGGAGAGCAGAAACTTTTTTGTTTGTTTATTTTTAAAAATCAGAGACTTAGATATACAATAAGAGCTGTCAGGTGCCAGCCCTGTGAGACTTGGCCTCATGTGGTGCAGGACCTGTGCTTAACTCAGCACCAAGCCTCAGGTGGCTTATCCTCAGTGCTCCTGCAGTATAGCTGAGATGGAAGGTCAGTCATTCATTTCAAAGTTGCAAGTTCTCACCTTGAAGCAGTGACTTCCTCTTCACTGGAAGATGCTATGTCTTTAAGCTGTCCCAAGATGCCACTGAGAGCACTGGGGCAGTCTCTGTAGGAAGTGAGTGTGACCCTGAGGTTCTAGGGAAGTCTGTCAGGTTAAGAACATGACGTGTCTAATTCTAGTTGTTTCTCAGGGCACCTTGAGGTAAGACTGGGAAGTTGGCAGCTGTGTGGCCCCAGTTGCCCAAGTTCTCCTGGGCAGGTGTGAGATGTGCTTGTTTCTCATTAGGTCAGGGGTATCCTGGTCCCCAGGCTTCTGAGGTTGGCATGCCTTTTCTGCTTGTATGTGAAACTTGTGGCTCTGTGTAACACATAGGTGGCTTGCTGATACACACATGTGCTACTGTATTTTTCTAGAACAGTTTTCTTTTCTCCCCCACCTTGCAGACGGCTGAGGCATTGCAACCCACTCTGCAGCCTGAAATGCAGCTTGAACATGGAGCCATCCAGATCCAGTGAGACACTGTAGGAGTGCCATACCACAGCTGCTCACTGACCCTGCCTTGTGCCCTGCTCTCTTGCTTCAGCAAGCAACTGCAGGTTCTGCTGGGCATCCGAGAGCTCCTCCTCCCAGGGAAAGGTCCTGGCCACCCCTGCTGGAAGGTGCCTCAGGATTTGAGTCTCACTGCTAGTCTTCAAAGGAGAAGCCTAGTGCAGAGTGTCGAGTACGTTCAGAAAAACAAGAACTACGATATTTTGTTTAAACAGCTTTTTTAATTTGTTATGGTGTTTATAACAAAAAAGAAAATGGAAAAAAAAAACCCAAAAAAACAAAAAACCAACCAAACAAAGAAAAACCAGAACAGAAACACAACTGTGGAGTAGTGGAAGCCTGGGCCGTGTGCTCCCTTCAGGGTCCTGAAGTAGATGTTGGAGCCAGCTGACAATGCTGGAGCACTTCGGACCTGCTGCTAGGGGAGTGCGCCAAAGGGAGTGCTCCCCAGTGTGATTATGCATTTCTGATGAAATAAAGTGTATTTATGGCCACAGAGGCTCAGTGTGGTTGCACCATGAGAGGACTTCCCCACAGTGCCCTTTCCCAGTATGGGTACTGGGAAGAATGTTCATCTCCAGGGCCATGCTACCAGAGAGTCCCTGCTTTGGCCCTCTCTTCTAGGGAGCATGAGCTGTGGGTGTCCCTTGGGGCAGCTGGCTCCCACTTCATCACAGTGAGCCCTCAAAGGCAAGGTCATTCTAACCCATCCTCTTCTGAATGCTTAGGCTCTATAAACTGCAACCCCAGGGGTCTGGAGAATGCTCTGTGCAGAAGGCAGGACTACAGAGAGAGCAGGTTCAAGTAGTCACATGAGCGGCATGTGAAGTGCCAATAAAGTTGTCCTGACTGACTGACTGACAGTGTCATGCTTGACACTTTTCCTGGGAGGATTTCAAAGTTGTGGTCCCAGATTATCATGCCTTTGTCTCATGCCACTACATTCTGACTTCCTGGGCTGGTTCTTCACCAGGGCACACTGAGGGAGCAGAGGAGAACAGCTCTATGGACTAGACAATGTGACATAGTTGTGGCTATCTTCATAGGAGACTTGCCACTGTTGGAGATGGCCCTGTGTGTGGAGAATGGGGAAAAGCATGGAGGCTGGGTTTACAAGGCTCTGTAACACATCTGGGCAGGATCCCAGGCAAGAATGGAGAACAAGAATCCAGAGAGGAAAGCACACTCCAGGAAGAGCATGGCATAGAGCCACACACAGATATACAGGATGGGAGGTGGCAGCAGACCCACACCCTGGAAGTCAGAATGCTGGAAAGGAACTACTTCCAGCAGGGTCAGGTCTCCAGAAAACATGTCAGAAAGCTAGTTGACAATGTACCATGCGACCCTGCAGTTGTAATCCCAGGAATACCCTGTCTGTACACATACCTGTGGGCACGTCCGCACTAGCCCCGTTCATAACGACCTGAAGTGGAGATAGCCTAACAGTCCAGCATAGGAGCAGGTGAGCAAAGGCTTGCCTCTCGGTACAGAGGATTATCTGACCGCCAAAGGATCAGCACGCTGGCCCACACTGTGGCATGATGGCCTTGCAGACGTTAGTGAGTGAAAGGAAGCACAGGTAAGAAGAATGCATACTGGAGGATTATACGGATGGACAGATTGTCGGGACCTGCAGAGAGGAACGGCAGCAGTAATGTATCATGGGGATCATGCATCCTGTGGGCTGCTGACACTGCTTTGGATTGGAAAATGGATATTTGTCTTGTACACCAGGTGACTAGTCACTCAAAAAGGTGAAACGTTTGCTATTCACTGTATCTCAAGGTTAGTGTTGATAAATGGGTCACATTTGGCAAAAACATAAAAATGGAGGCTATGTTCTAAAGATGCCCATGGAAAGAGATTCCAGGGAATTTTTCAAGATTAGGAACATAGGCCCAGATGGAGGTTCTCAAGCAAGAGACCACTGCAACACGTGGACCAGAAATGGATCTGAAGTGTTCTATATAAAATGACCTCTCTAAGATTAAAGAAAGCAAAACAGTGGAAAACATGGCTGTCTCGGGACAGGCAAGAAGAGAAGTGAATTCTTTTAAAGTACTCTTAACTGCCTTGAAGAAAAACGTGTGCAGTTTCAGCCTTCAGTATCTGAACACTGCATAGAAACATGTCACTGTTTGCAAAGAGTGGATTGCTTGCTCAGGTGGTCAGTAGCCCTGTCCCTGTCCTTGTCGGACATCACCCAGCAGCTTGAGAAAGGTCTGTTCTTAGATGTTCTCTGGGGCATTGCTAAAGACTTCTGCTTGCCACAGGCGCTGAGCTGTGTTGTGTGTTCTCTGACCACATGGAATTGAGGTAGATTTTAATGAGGAAGGAACTTCCCATCGGTCAAGTAAGTAAAATTGGACTCATGAAGATACACTTCACTGAATGACAGAGATGTCAACATGTGGAGTACATCAGGCGTGTAGAGAAGCAGCTGGAGACAGCTTGGGATGGAGAGTTAAGTCCATTCGAACGACAAAAGCAGCGTTGGTGCTGCAGGAGGAGTACAAGGAGGAGCTCCATTTGTATAAGTGTTCAAACAGTTGACAGTCCTGGCACAAGGAAGAGGATGCATACAAGTTGCCATTGTGGGGGTCTCCACAGGCCCCTCAGGCAGTCGATGAGGCTGTCCCAGAAGTGAATGGATGGATTGGGAAAATCAGATGGGAAGACATGCTGCCTTGACACCAGCCTGGGGTGGGGCAGGAGGAAAGGAAGGAAGGAAGGAAGGAGAGAGGAGAGTTTGTTGTTGCTTCTGAATGTCTGAGCTACCTCCAAGCATGAACAGGCCGTGCTTGGCGACATCAGGTGATGTGTCACCCCACCCCAGGCTGAGTCAGGTTCAGTCATGCATACTTGGTGTATTTTGAAAGTCATGTGGCTCGCTGTGGTAGTAGAGCCATGTGCTTCTCTTAAGCAGGAAAATGATATGTAAAATTTACCTGTTCATTAGCAGAGTCACACTAGATCTGATCGGAGACATCTATAACAAACCTGTGACAAATATCCCTGAACGTGGATTTGGAAAGCCCGGTGTGACAAATGAGGATGCCTGGCACCTTGGTTATTCTGAGATTGGAAAACTGGAAGCGAGGCTGCCTCTGTCTGTATAATCTGGATGTGCACACCTGACGGACATCCCAGGAGCTGACCCGAAAACCTGCGAGTGTGCGTTGCTTGGGTGCTGGCTACAGGCCATTTACAAATCCACTCCCATCTTAATCAGAGTCAGCACGGATGCTCTTAACCGCTGCTTAGTATAGACTCTTAGAAGCTTTAGCCCACAGAAGTGAATTTAAGGAGTTTCCGAGGCAGATGTTACTGAATTAGAGAAAAACCAAAGAAAAGTCTCATCTGAGAAGGCGTGGGTTCTCTAAATGTGCAGCCAGTGAGGCTTCACGCAGAAGCCAAGCAGGGGCTTCTGTGGCAGTGGTCAAGAGTGATGAGGGCTGGTTGGAGAGATGGCTCGGTGGTTAGAGTGCTTACTGCTCTCCCCTCCCCAGTGGGGAGAGCTCACTGCCTGTAACCCTATGCCCCTTTGATTCCCCACACTCCTCCCACTCCCACGGCAGACATAAACACACACAGGAATAAAAATAAATCTTTAAAAATGACAGTTGTCTGTCTTGATGGCCCTGTGTGTGGCCCAGCAGCAGATGGCATGGAACACTGTGAGACAGAGACCCACCATGAGAATGTGAAGGTGCTGGGACAAGGGACGCAAGTTCCACAATGAAGCTCAGGACAGTTGGAATTTCACAAGTAGCCGAGTGTGAGGGATGCAGTAAACTAGGTGGTGAACTCTGTGGCCTTGGCTTGGGCAAAGGCGACTTGAGCTGGGTATAAAGGAAAAGCAGGCTGAGCACAGAAGAGGCTGCTTAGGTGCACATGCTGCCCCAAGCCTGCAGTACCAACACCTGGGAGAAGGAGGCGCAAGACCAGGAGTTGTACAGCATCCTCACCTGCCTGACTCCCTGTCTTGTAGAAATAAAGGTCAAAGGAGATCCCACCACCCAGGAGAGATTGGCCCCGTCCCTCAGTGCACATGAGACCTCGCAGATATGCTGAGTCTTAGTGGTAAAGACAGTGCCACAGTTCGAGAGGATCTGAGGGGCACAGGCTTTACCCAGGCCTCCGAGCCACTGAGAGACTGTGACGGCCATTTACTGTTGACATTTTGTTCTGCCAAAATAACAAAAAGGCAAAAGACAGAAACCTATCCACCAGATCTTCATATTCCTAACAAACAGGAAGAGAGGCAGCCTCACTGTGTTGAGATACCTTTTACACCATGATGGTTTACCAGACAATCCTGTGTCGAGAACACTGTGAGCAGCTGCACCCCATGGGTTGAGGTGATGGCTCACTCAGCCTCCATGGAGGATATTCTAGTGATTTCTAGGGTGCACAGGTGCAGGGCCAGATCCCAGAGATCTCCTGGCACAGGGCTGACCCTTCCCCCAGCCTGTGATTGCCTTCAGTCAGCACTACACTGTCCCTAGGGCGGAGAGCAGGTGACCCCTGTAGTCAAGCTGACCGGTTGGATTGCCGTGTGTAGCGTGGACTGAGGCAGTTTGCCTCACCTGCCTTATTACCTGACGGCACAGCTGGTGTAGAACTCCACCGACAAGGCTGTATGCCTGGCAGTGCCACAGCCTCTGTGCTCACTAGTACACAGGACAGAAGCTGTTTGCTAGTAGCTCTCCGTGTAGTTAAGACAGGAGGAACAAAATGTCAGATGTGGAAATAGCAGTGTAGCAGCCTTCTGGGCAGGCTAGCAAAGCCCTGGCAGAGAAGACACCTATGTCTTTTGTCCAAACACCACATGATCCAGGCAGTATGAGGAAGCCTGAACAGGAAACATGATGGAACATTCCTTAATCCTTGGGGCTATCACTATGACACCAGAGAGTGTTACTTTTAAACTAATAGGGTCGAGATAATTACAGCCAGCAAAAATACCCAGCCAGTCCAAAGAAGGGACAGGACACAGGGAGTGTCACAGTGATAGTGAAGCCCCTGCAGGGACATCAGAAGCCCTGAGGAAAGGGAGGCCTAAGTGAGGGAAGGGCAGCTGGAAGTTGGGGGTGATTGGGGTCACTTTTCTCTTGGGCTAGGTGGCCTATCAGGTGGCAGGTAAGTGGATATGCTGGCCTTCACCACCCTTAAAGCTAGTTGGGCAGTCATTGGGACCAGACAGCAAAGACTAGAGTTCCCAATGGACCCCTTTACTCTGGGTGGGCTCTGGCAGGGTACACCATGGCTTACAGCCCCTTAGCTAACTTGCATTGTCTCAGTTGCTGGTAGTAAGCTGGCCAGCATGGCTGAGACTGCTTGTATCCCCAGCAGCCTGGTGGGAACAAGTGGCAGTCCCGTTGGGAGGAGGAGGAGGATATCAGATTATATCCACAGGCACTTTTGCAGACAGCAGCAATGAAGCGCAATGAAAACCCCAGGCAGCCGCAGACAACAGAAGCAGACCAGAGG